GTGAGCCTGGCCACTTCAGACCCCTTGTGGACGCCGTCCTCGAATGCGCCGCCAGAGACAAGGACCGCGATGTCATTGAGCACACATTCCAGTTCTGGTACGAGCTGAAGCAGTACATCGTCCTGGAACGCTACATCCAGGCTAGACTGGAGCTTGTGGACATTTACTCAAAGTTGGTCGACATCTTGCTCTCACACCTGAAATACCCGCAGTCAGAGTCTGCGAGCGAGACGGATCTATTCGACGGCGACCGCGAGGCCGAGGAGAAGTTCCGCGAATTCAGACACCAGATGGGCGATACTCTCAAGGACTCTTGTGAGGTTATGGGTGTTACTGACTGCCTCACAAAGGTTCTCGAGGCCATCAAGATCTGGATGCACAGCTATGCTGGCCAGGCTTCGGCGACTTCGGTCCCTCACTGGCAAGAGCTCGAGGCACCTCTCTTCGCCATGCGTGCCATGGGACAGATGGTTGACAAGGAGGAAAACATTGTCCTGCCTCAGCTCATGCCTCTTCTTGTCCAGATCCCCAGCCACGAGAAGCTTCGCTTTGCCACAATCATGGTACTGGGTCGCTACACCGAGTGGACTTCGGCGCACCCCGAATATCTGGAGCCTCAGTTCAACTACATTGTGACATCGTTCCAGACGGACTCGAAGGAAGTTGTTCGAGCCGCGGCCATGGCTATCAAGTACTTCTGCACCGACTGCAAGCAGCTCCTGAGTGGCCAGGTCATCCAGATGCAAGAGTTCTACGACCAGATTCTCGACAAGCTGCCCGATCAGAGCCAGGAAGAGATCACGGAGGGCGTTGCCAGCGTTGTTGCTGTGCAGCCGCCCACCGAGATCTACAAGCTGCTCAAGCTCTACTGCGACCCGTTGGTGCAGCGGCTGATGAACAAGGCCAACCTTGCAACGGACGACAAGGGCAAACTGGCGCTTGCAGGTAGGTTTTGACCAAATACATCATTCGGGGACACGCGGCTAACTCGACTTTAGACCACCTCCAACTCATTACCATCTTCATTCAAATCGTGGTGCCGTACGTCGGTACTGGCGAGGAGAACCCGGCGGTCAAGTACTGGCAGGAGGTCTTCCCCGTGTTGGCAACAATCCTGGACAACTTTATGGGCTTCGTTCCGATTTGCGAGAGGATCTGCCGCTGTTGGCGAAACATGATCATCTCCTACCGAACCGCCATGACACCCCTTCTGCCGGAGATGGCCAACAAGCTAGCCGGCGGCTTCGCTGCTTCGAGGCAAGGCGCGTTCCTCTGGGTCACGGCTGCAATTCTGCGCGAGTTCTCTGAAGACCGGGAGCACGTCAACCAAGAGATCACCCAGAGCATCTATGCCTTCTTCGAGGCCCAGACCACGACATTCTTGCGCGTCATGAGCGAGCTGCAGCCGAGCGAGCTGCCCGACGTCATCGAGGACTTCTTCAGACTCCTGATTGACGCACTTCTCTACTACCCCGGCAGAATCGTACCATCTGAGCTCTTGGGGCCCATCTTTGAGGCTGCCATTTACGCCCTGACCTTGGAGCAGCGCGATCCGCTCTCGGCGACGCTTCACTTCCTGCGTGATCTCCTCACGTACGGAGGTGACAACCCTGCGACATCTGATGTCCTGCCACCGGATGTGGCTGCTCAGATTCGTGAGGTGGTCAGCAAGCTTCTTGCCACTCACGGTGAGAAGCTCGTCAAACAGGTCATGGCCGGAATGATGATTACCTTCCCTCGGGATTGCTTCGCTGACGGTAGTGGTGTCTTGCTGGCCATGTTCGAGCTATTCCCCGCCCAGACGACGACGTGGGTTGAGAACACTATCCAGCTCCTGCCTCCGGGCACCATCACGCCCGCTGAGGCCAACCGACTCATGGCCAAGATCAGAGAGCGTCTCAGTGGCAACGATCCCACCGCCATCAGACAGGTGAGAGCGCTGTTGCAGGACTTCACCAACACATATCGTCGGCGCTACGTGGCTCCGCGGGAGGGCCTTGGCCAGCTGGAGGCAGCTCGTTTTCACTTCACAGGTTAAGGGTGGGATTCTGGTGGAGGACGGTATTATAAAGGCCACCACTACCCCGAGTGCTGTCCAGGGCAGGCTAGAGGGTTGGGATAATGTGCTGCCCATCGAACTGGCCAAGGGTTCATTATCAGAGGGTGGAAATGGGAGAGGTTGGAGATGGAGAGCTTCCGCTAGACCTGACTGGAGGCGGACAGCACTATGATGAATGACACTTGGGCTCCAGTGTCCTTCGGCCGAGGCAGGTAGAGGATGACAGGCGGAGGGTATTTCGAAGCCTAATTAGAGGCAATAGCTGAGGAAGCGGGAGGAGTCGGGTCACGAGTGCGGTGCAGTAGTTGGGGACGCACCTTGATCTCTGCAAAGTAGAGACAAAGACGATAGACCGAGACTTGTGAGCATATATGGCTGAACATGTTTGGGGTGGCAAAGAGCGATGGCCTTTCACAGACCGACTGATAGGGGCGCATTGCCTGGTTAGAGCAGGTCGAGAATTCAAAAGTTTTCAATGCGGTCTTTGACTAGTGACGGTGCCCTCTGCTACATATGATAATGTTGGCTTTAATGTTTCTTGGGCTCTTTGGGTAACAAAGAACACTGGATCACGAGTTGAATGTGGTACGTATAGATTGGGCCCAGTCCTAGGATTGCGGCCCGTAACCAGAGGTTTCCAGAGCTTAGTTTGTAATCGAACCTTGTTGATGACTCTCTCGTATGGAATCTTCAGAGTGTTTGTTAAAGTAGTCCGTTCCATAATCCCTGTACCTGACCGTTTACGAAGTTCTAGAGGGACAGAATCGTTGTGTAAGTTGCGACGGACGATCTTATAGACACACCCTGGTTGGGAGCGACGGATCACGAACTTGGGCAGTCACCCCTGCAAGTGGTCCGGGCTTTTCATACCCTAGATGCCATTGGTCACAGCTTAATGACCCCCGACGCAAGTACCGCGACTTGGACCTGCTCGACGCGACGACGGCCAAAAAAAGTAAGAGCGAGAGATGTCTCGTCATGATTGCTTCTCGACCTCCCGAACCGCCTCTGTTTACCACGTCGTACCTCCCGTTTGCTTCCAAGCAGTCGAATGAGCACTGGCCCAGCGCCAACTCAAGATTTGGAGGTGAAAGTCTCCCCGACAGTCTTCACCCAGCTTGAGGCAGCTGCCTTTGATAATCAACACCCTCTCCCGAATCACGACGGCATCAACTCCTTGCGTCCGACTGCTCTCTTCCGAAGCTCCGATACGAGATCAAAGCATTTAGACGAAGAAATCCCAAAGAACACAAGCTCACCGTTCCCACCGCAAACATGCCTCCGAGCAGTGGCACAAACCGGATGGCCCAGTACGCCAGGAATGCGTCCATGGACTCGGGCCTTCCAAACGGCAACAACAACCAGCCGAACCAACAGCGCTCCGAGGCAACTGGCTTCCCTACACGGCAGGCCATCACCGAGTCGGCGAGGCTCCCTGCCCCCAAGCCTCTCGCGTCTGCTATACCCTTGGCATCCCACATCCGCCAGCCTGAGCCTGGCCTTGCCCAACCTCAATCCGCGCCGCCCATGCATCCTCGCCAGCCTTTGCCCGATAGCTCCCCGATACCACAGCAACGAAAGCGTTCCAGTTCGCAGAGCAGTGATGGGCCCGGTTTCTGGCCCGAGTCTCACATAGATAGTCAGTTCGGCTCGCCTACCACCCAACGCACCGAACGGTACGACGCAAATATCGACGACCGCCTTGGTGCAGCGCCGCACTCGCTGCAACCCGCTGCCGAAGTGCCTACGATGCTCAAGTTTGAGAATACCCAGCAGCCAATAGGCAAAAACGGGATGCCCTTCATTATTGGCAAAAACGGCACCATGAGAGTTATGCCAAATATGCAACAAGCCCTCCCCATCACACAAGGCGGCATAGTTCACTCGCGAGAGCAACAGCATGAGCAAGATGCATACTCGAGCGAACCTCTCTACAACTACTCTCCGCAGCGCCAGACAAAAGTTGCCATTCACCCCACTGCTGTGAGGCGACCGTACGGACCCCCCGCATTTGAAGATGACGAGGAAGTCTTCTCGGACGCCCCAACCCGTAAAGTCCCCCAGCCTCAGCAACATCTAAGGCGCGCTGTCAGGAGAGACAGGCCTCCGGAGTCGCGGCGGGCCGAACTCTTTCCAGAGGAAGAAGATGTCGACGGCAGCCTGGCTAGTGACTATCCTGCCACAGAAGACGACCACGGCACTCCTCGGGCTAGTCGTAAGAAGAGTATGCCATCGGAGGCGCGCCCCCTCGAAGACTCGCTTCCAATTGCGGCCCTCGGCCAGCGAGACAAGTCACGGAAGCGACGTCGTGATCAGTGTGACTACGGAGATAACGAGCTCCTAGGGATGACATACTCCCAATTGCGCGAGCAACCCTTTGACGAAGACCCTGCCAAGACATCCCTCCCAACGGCTACGCCTCTGAACGGTGATAGTCTTTCGGTCAAGCTCGATCATTTCAAGGGTCAGCGCGAATCCGATCAGAGAAACTTCTTTAGTCAGATGAATGTTGGCGACTGGGAACGCTCGGGCGACTGGTTTCTGGAGCAGTTCGGCCTTGTTGCGCAGAAGCTGAAAGACGCCCGTAGGGAGAAGCGAGACATGGTTGATCGTTTCGAGACCGAAATCGCCAACCGGGAGGAGGCAGTTCGCGTCCGGACTGAGAACATTACAAAGAAGCTGAGCAAAATCCGCCACAAGGGCGAGGACATGTTGGCAGACAAGGAGGTTTGAAACACGTTCTGCAGAGTATCATCACAAGGCGCCATGGATCATTTTATCGTGTTGACGAAAACAAGGCGTTGGGATGTGTAGCGAATTTTGACGACACTTTATGGCTAATGATTAATGGCTATCATGACTGGCGTATTGGGATGGTTGTGTCTGTAGTATATTCCCGGCGTTGGCACAGGTATTCTCTACATCGTTGATAAGACTGTCCTCACAAAACAAATGATTCCTTTACCGATCTGTCTTTACGGACGACGAGTCTCATCTGGTGGCCCGGACTGTTTGGCAGGATCCCTTTCCTGACATTATCCGAAAACAGCTCATAAGCAGGGTAGTAGCCGTCGACGAACTTGACAACCTGCTCGTCCGTCATGCCCGTGCCCCTCTCCCGACGGAGCGCAGCCTCTTGCTGCAGACGCCAGTCGTAGACGTACTGCGTGTCTTCGGCATCAATGTGGATAAAGACGTCGAGGAGATCAGTCATGGCGTCGTACGCTTTCAGTCTCTCATTCACCAACAGCAAGTGCTCGAGCTTATGCTTCTGGAGCGTCCTGCTGGGCGCCTTCCACTTGGCTTCCACCTCGGCCTCGGCCAGGGTGCGGAACCCGACGCACCAGCCCTCAAAGATGACGACTTGGACCTTGGGCTGGTCTGGCCCGTTGACTTCTGGCCATTGGTTCTCGGGGACGCGGTCCCCCTGGCCGGAAAAGGCTGCTTTATCGTACGAGGGGACTTTGGTGGGGTGACCTCTTGTGATGGAGTCGAAGAATGTGCACGCGAGCTGCGTGTCGTGGGTTCCTGGTTCGCCGCGCTGTTGGACAAGGAGGTTGTCTGGGTGTGAGCTGGCGAGGGCGAGTTGGTCTGCGTGCGTGAGGTAGAGGTCGTCGATGCTGAAGACGAGGGTTGGGTGGCCTAGTTGGGTGAGGGAGGAGGCTAGGGCGGCGACGAGGGTTGTTTTGCCGACGCCTTGGACGCCGTTGAGGCCGATTATGAAGGGGCGTGGGGATTCATTTTGGGGGGTGGTGCGCTTTTTGAGGAGGGAGGTTATGAAGGGGATGCAAAGGGGAGATTTGTCGTCGATGATGGGCGGTGCTGCGGAGGCCATGGCTGTGGTGGTGATGATGGGACCGGTGGTTACGGTAGAGATGGAGGGGGGGGCCGGGGGATCAACCGGTGATCGGGTGGTGCTTGTGAATATGCGGAGGTGGTCCGGCGAGAGTGAGGGAGTTCATGGCCGTTTGGGCGCCGATGCCGAGAGGTGTCCGGCGGGGTTCAGCGGGATGCGGGGCGGTATGCATTTTCGCGGCGGGTTGACGCCGAGACGCTTAATTGATTTCCCCGGGTGTGGTTTGCGCGCCGAGCAAAGGCTCATTTTCGGCTAATCTGATCACCGCGGGTTGCATCTTGGTGAGGGTATCCGTACCTAGCTAACGAGTACTGGTACCGGCAGTTGGCGATGTTTTACATGGTTGGGGTGGGATAACAGCTGTCACTGGGCCAAAGTCTCAATCAGACGCAGAAAGACTTTGTCTTTAATGGATGAATAATCAGCTAAGCTAGGAGCCTAGGAAGAATCGGCAGAACCCCACGGCATGTCAACACGTGCGGTAGGCGAACACACCCGAGATCTTACCAAGGCTAAATTTCCTCGTAGGGAACCATTCGTTGTTTTTTAGAGTTGCATGATTCACAGGGGACCCTGGACCTCCCACGGGAGACTTTGGTCGGCAGCTGGGGTGGACCAGTAGGAAAAAGGGGCTGGGTACCCATACCGGATCTTTCGTCGGCGCCTTCCAGGTAGCTACCTATGAGGTGGTCCCTGGACTCTGGAGACCATCAAGTCAGCATCCGTCGGCATCGAGTGGGCACGGGATCCCGCCCTCTCACCTTTGGACCTTGGTGGCCGAGTCACTGGAGTGGCCGTTCCCCAGTGTTCCACGGCGCCAGACACTGGGGAGACACTGGGTAGGTACGTACCCGTTGCCGACCGGAGGCTGGGCCAATACAGCGCTGTGAATGGTCAGATTGGGGGTCGAGCAGGGGACATGTGACATGGGGTGGCGGGGTCGAGTTCCTTCCCCACATGACCTCATGGGGTATGTACGTACCACAGGTCCGCGACAGGCTCGAGTCCATTGGAGACTTTTTTAACCCACGGCAAACGTAGCATGTGAAGTTAGGCCTTAGCCGCTCTCGGACTAGCGTATTTCGTCGGCTTCGGACACAGGAAGCTGCCTCGGCTCTCTGAGCGGCTGCCGTCACGCTGCACAGAAGACAGTTGCCGGAAGCGCAGAAGTTAAGAAAACCACCACGTCCCGTCCCTTTTTCCCACGAAACAAAGAATCATTGAATTGATCAACGTTGCGAACTCTTCCTACATACCCTATTCCCTTACGCTCAATACTTGTCTGGATTTCTCTGTGCCATCTATAATCCCATTTAGCGACTGTTCTCTCTCTTTCTCATCAACACATCACATACACACAATGGCTGGTCAGCTACGCTTCGACGACCAGGTCGTCGTCGTCACTGGCGCTGGCGGTGGCCTCGGCAAGGCCTATGCCACCTTCTTCGGCTCCCGTGGCGCCAGCGTCGTCGTCAACGACCTCGGAGGCTCCTTCAAGGGCGAGGGCACCTCAACCAAGGTATGGCATTTGACAAAAAGTGTCCGAGTGCGCACCGCTGACGTACTGCTATCCAGGCTGCCGACGTTGTCGTCAACGAGATCAAGGCTGCCGGCGGCAAGGCCGTGGCCAACTACGATTCGGTCGAGAACGGCGACAAGATCATCGAGACGGCGATCCAGAATTTTGGCCGCATCGACGTGCTGATCAACAATGCTGGCATCCTGCGCGATATCAGCTTCAAGAACATGAAGGATGAGGACTGGGACCTGATTATGAAGGTGCACGTCCAGGGATCGTACAAGTGCGCCCGCGCGGCATGGCCCCATTTCAGGAAACAAAAGTACGGCCGTGTCATCAACACGGCCTCGGCTGCCGGTCTCTTTGGCAGCTTCGGCCAGTGCAACTACTCTGGTACGTGTCGCAGCCGACGCCCAATTGATATAAACCGCCTCAAGATGCTAATCCGGTTCATGCAGCTGCCAAGTTGGCCATGGTGGGCTTCACCGAGACGCTGGCAAAGGAGGGCGCCAAGTACAACATTCTGGCCAATGTCATTGCACCAATCGGTAAGTGCAACGTGTGTTGGGCAAGCGGAGCCGTGGGCAGGGGAAATCGTGTGCGCTAACTGGTACAAACAGCCGCCAGCAGAATGACCCAGACTGTGATGCCGCCCGATGTGCTGGAGATCTTGAAGCCCGAATGGGTCGTCCCCCTCGTCTCCGTCCTCGTACACAAAGACAACAAGGACGAGAACGGATCTATCTTCGAGGTTGGCGGTGGTCACATTGCCAAGCTGCGTTGGGAGCGGTCCAGCGGTCAACTCCTCAAGGCCGACGACAGCTACACACCCAGCGCCGTCATCAAGAAGTGGGATCAGGCCATTGACTTCTCCAAGCCTCAGTATCCCTCTGGCCCGAATGACTTCTTGACTCTCCTGGAGGACTCCATGAAGATGGGCCCCAACGAGCAAGGTGAAAAGGTTGACTTCACCGGCCGTGTGGCTCTCGTCACCGGTGGTGGTGCAGGGTAAGCTTAGAAGCCTCGCATGCGATCATCCACAGCTAACGGTTCCCAGTATCGGTCGTGCTTACAGTTTGGCATTCGCCAAGCACGGCGCCACGGTCGTTGTCAACGACTTGGCCAACCCCGACGACGTGGTCAACGAGATTAAGAAGATGGGTGGCAAGGCTGTCGGCATCAAGGCCTCAGCAGAGGACGGCGATGCCGTTGTCAAGGCCGCGATTGACGCTTTCGGACGCATTGACATCATTGTCAACAACGCCGGCATCCTGCGCGACAAGGCCTTCAACAACATGGACGACAGCCTCTGGGACCCCGTCCTGAACGTCCATCTCCGTGGTACCTACAAGGTCACCAAGGCCGCCTGGCCGTACTTCCTCAAGCAGAAGTACGGACGTGTCATCAACACCACCTCCACCTCTGGTATCTACGGCAACTTTGGCCAGGCCAACTACGCCGCGGCAGTAAGTCTCATCGCGCTGAGCCTCGAGACATGATCACTGACAGACGTACAGAAATGCGGTATCCTCGGCTTCTCCCGTGCGCTTGCCCTCGAGGGTTACAAGTACAACATCTACGTCAACACCATCGCCCCCAACGCCGGCACTGCGATGACAAGAACCATCATGCCCGAGGAGATGGTCCAGGCCTTCAAGCCCGACTACATTGCGCCCGTTGTCCTCGCTCTCTCCAGCGACAAGGTCCCCAAGAACCCTACCGGCGGCCTGTACGAGGTCGGCAGCGGTTGGGTCGGCCAGACCCGCTGGCAGAGAACCGGCGGCCACGGCTTCCCCGTCGACGTCCCCTTGACTCCCGAGGAGGTTCTCAAGCACTGGGACTCCATCAGAAACTTCGAGGATGGCCGCGCCGACCACCCTGAGAAGACTCAGGACGGTCTCCAGAGCATCATGGCAAACATGGAGAACAAGAGCAACAAGTCCAAGGTATGAAGCCTACACATCCAGTGGCGCAATTCTGTAAAATAGCAATAGTTTTTAAATAAGAACAATTATTGATCATGTGTCTTTACAGTCAGAGGCAAGCTCCGGGGGTGACAGCAAGTACCTCGACGCCATCAAGGCCGCGCAGAACGCCAAGGGCAAAGGAACCGAGTTCCAGTACGAGGAGCGCGACGTGATGCTCTACAACCTGGGCATCGGCGCCAAGCGCGACCAGCTCAAGTACGTCTTTGAGGGCGCCGACGACTTCCAGGTCGTGCCGACTTTTGGCGTCATCCCGCCCTTCAACACGGAGATGCCGTACAACTTTGACGACATCGTCCCCAACTTCTCCCCCATGATGCTCCTGCATGGCGAGCAGTACCTCGAGATCAAAAAGTACCCCATCCCCACCGCCGCCAAGCTCGTGTCCACCGGCAAGCTCCTCGAGGTCGTCGACAAGGGCAACGCCGCCATTGTCAAGAGCGGCATCACCACGATCCACGCCGAGACCAAGGAGCCCGTCTTTTACAACGAGATGACGGTGTTCTTGCGAGGCTGCGGCGGGTTCGGCGGCCAGAAGAAGCCTGCGGACCGCGGCGCCAGCACGGCGGCGAACAAGCCTCCTTCGCGCCACCCCGACGTCGTGGTCGAGGAGAAGACAACCGAGGAGCAGGCGGCGCTGTACCGCCTGAGCGGTGATTACAAGTAAGTCACTGAAGCCTTCATGCATTTACCAACTTTTGACTAACGTTCGACAGCCCCCTCCACGTCGACCCTGCATTCGCCAAGATGGGCGGCTTCAAGGCCCCCATCCTCCACGGCCTCTGCTTCTTCGGTGTCGCCGGCAAGGCCGTGTACGAGCGCTTCGGCCCCGTCAAGAACATCAAGGTGCGCTTCGCCGGCACCGTCATCCCCGGGCAGACGCTCGTGACGGAGATGTGGAAGGACGGCGGCAAGGTCATTTTCCAGACCAAGGTCAAGGAGACGGGCAAGCTGGCGATTGGCGGCGCCGCGGCGGAGCTGGTGGACGACAAGAGCAAGCTCTAAGCTGCGTAACGGGCGCGCATTCTTTGAGTTTATATGAGTAAATGGCTATCTGTCTCTTTGTATGATTCATGGGGGGTTTTTTTTTAAATCAAGTTTAGGAAATAGGCAGGTTTATGAAAGTTAAAGTTGAAATTTTATTTATCAATTACAAAAGGTTACTTGTTGTGTAGATGAGCGCCGAGACGACAGTCCTCACTTCACTCTACCCTCGTTATGTGAGGTTCGTTTCCCGTTCTCCCGCTTTCTCGATTCCTAATCCCGCAGACCCAGAACGCCCCAAAGATGCCCATATCCCAGTATAATCATAACCTCGGTAAAACTCGAATCCTCTTGTCTTTCTCGTCATGGCGCCTCTACAAAGCACTTCTCTACCAAAGTGGGCTTCACACGAAAATGGTCTCAACCACAAAGTCGCACAACTCGGGCAAGGTCGGCAATTGACCGTTCTTGAGGCGATGCTCGACCGGCGAGACCCCGTTCCTGGCAAAACCCGTCTCCAAAAAGGCCTTTTCGGCCCCATTCAGCTCCCGCTTCTCCGTCTCGCGCCACTTGGCCTCGGCCTCTTCCTTGGCCTCCCTCAGCACCGAGTCGGTGTCCTCGCTCTCCCAGAGGTTGCACCTCGAGCACTCGGTGCAGGGCCGCGGGTCGCCGTCCGGTCTAAAGTGGTCGCAAAAGTGCCTGTACCCTTCGCCGTCTCCGTTGGTACCGCCAATGTCCTTGCGGCAGACGTAGCACATCTTGTAGCCGCAGGGACAGGTGAGCTTGTTGCAGCCCGAGTTCTTGACGAATGATGTATGACATCGCGGGCAGACGCGCTTGATGGCCATGCTCATCGCCTGCTCGACCTGTGTACGTAGCGCAACCAGGGACGACTCGTTACACACGTGAATGTCCTTCCAGGCCTTGGCGCAGGATAGACACGAGCTTTTCCCGCAATCGGGGTTTTGACATGCAAACTTGAGTCCACGGCGCCGTCGGCGATGGCGGCCAAGAGCCAGGTGCCATTGTGCGACCAGGCGGTCGCCAACCGTCTGCTTCGTGCTGACGAGAAGACAGAAAAAGGAGGACAACAAGACCACAGGCAGGAGAAAGGGGACGGTCGCAATGCATACGAGGAGAAGCGCAAGACTGAGTAGACTATCGAGTCTGATCCGAAGTTGCGTTTCTTGTGCTGGGAGGTAAATATCATCCACTTCTGCATAGTCGCAAAAGGGGCAACGAATTAGGGGCATGTTGGAGGTGAGGAGACTGTTTTCTGCCAATCGCTGGTCGAGTTTCCGGAGGATCTCGGCGCCCTTCTTCTCCTCGAGCATAGCGCGGTGTATGTGTTCATAGGGAATATGACCAGGGCACCCGTTCCCTTCGACAGCGAGACATTTCAGCGTGCCGTGGTTTGTGTCGATGCTGCTGTGCCATCCCTGGCCAAACACAGCCTCCGTAATCGAGTGTTGGATACAGCGGAAACAGAGCATATGTCCGTCCGTGTTGCAGGTTGTAAATTCCTCAAAAGTGGATTCGGTAAAGCAGCATGCGCACTCATGCATGGCGCCTGCTTCCTCGGCTTCTTCATTATTCATCAAGAATGCCAGACCTCGATCCTTGTCCTCTTGCGTTTGCCGCGCCCGATCTTTCAGCGGCCGGACCAAATCACGGTAAAGCTCAGAATCGAGCTCGGCGTTACCCGTGGCCTTGAGAGACGGCACGATGGCGCCTTGGCCGGTCGATTTCCATGTTATCAGCGGGTGATTTTCGGCTTCGCCCGTAGCGACCGGTTTCCGGCGGAGGAAGAGGGATGATATGGTAAAGCGCCATGATTTTGAAGAGAGGGATACGAGAGTGTTGCGGGCTTCGAGGTAGGAGTAGTTGGACTCGGCGAGGACGGCGTTGATGGTGGACCTCGAAAGGCCCTTGAATTCGTGCCAAGCCAGCGCTTGCACGGCGTGTTTGTACTCGGCACTTCGGAAGGCTTCGACGCGAGGGATCAGAGGTTCGTCCTGCTCTCCTGCTTCTTCGTTCGCAACCGGGGGTCTCGCAGGTTGGTTATCGACAGTCCTCCAGCGACCCTTGACCCAGGCGACGCGGTTCTTCAACAGGGCGTCGATCACCACAGCCAGCCTCGATTCCTCGTCAAAGTTGATCAACATTTCGCGGAAGACCTGAATCTGAACGTCGGGGAAGATGGCGGCAAGGGCTTCGAGGCTGTTGTTGAGCTCGCGAAGATCGGGGCAGTCGGGGGACAGCGCAGGGAGCTGCTCCTCATCGTAAATGTATCCATGGTGGGAAGTGGAGGCCGGGCCGGCGTCTGTCGTTTGAGACGAGGCATTCTCAGACGCCTTGTCGAGAGAGTTGGACGAGGAGGTCTTGGAGCGGCTGGAGACGAGTTTGTCGGTGGAAGATCCGAGAAAAGTTGTGAGGCCCATCTTGTCAGTTCATGGCTGGCGTAGGCCTCGCATGGCGTGGAACCGACGGTGACGGCCGACTGGAGAGCAATACGTGCGCCTGATGTACAGCGGGAGACAAGGCGGCTACCACGACATGTAGGCACAGTCAGGGCTACGTGACGACTTTTGCAGAAAAAAAGAAGAAAAAAAAGGGATTCGCGATGTTTGCTGAAGAGTGGGCGCGAGGATGCGTGGTGTGAAGTGGTCAAGGATGTCGCCGGGTCCCTTGTCGTTGGGAAATGGCGGACAGGGAAGCGCAGATCGGGGGACTGTTGTCGTTGTTGAAATGAATGTGACCAGGTTCCTTAGTGCCGAGTGATGAGTGATGCTCATCCAAGGACGATACCGATGTACCTCTTGGGCTTGTTTAGGTGGTCCGGTACCGTACCTGAGGTGGGTGTGTCTGAGAAGACCATGCGGGGAATTTAGGGGAATGACCACCACCTGGCAAGGCGTTGGTTAGCGATGGTCACTGTGGAAGCACCGACGTGTACTAAGGCGGTGCTAAGGAGTCTGCATGTTAGCTGCAGCATTCCATCTTCATGCAAACACTAACAGTCTGTGGTCATCACCAGCGCGAGCAGGGAAGGATGTCCCAACAGTTGGAGGTGCCTCGGCCACTGGGTGTGCCGGGCTGTCATGACATTATTATGGCCCACGTCGTGATGGGAAACGAGTATGGACCTCAGTCTAGTATTCCAGTTGAAGGCCTAGTACGAATACAACCACTCGAAATAGCGGTATCAACTTCTACTACACCATGTGGCCACTCAAAAGCCATCCTTCGCTCGGTCTGGACCTTGCCTAAATACAACCAAGTACAGGAGACTAAAACCTTGAGTGAGGCCTCACTGACGGTGATGCTATGTATCTCGGTATCAGTCTCGACAAAGCCTGGTTTCACAGGACGGTGTTATTCTCAGAAATTGGCGATCGCTAGCTCTTACTGCGAATACGATGCTATCAGGATACTAGTTCACACCACCCTACCGAGTTTAACAGAGTAGTGAGCCCGTCTTACAGATAGGACCGTCTAGATGGAATATCAATTCTTCCACTTTCTCTACAGCCTAGACTTCTCGCAAGCAGAAAAACATTGTCTCGCGTAGACGAAGCTCTCATACTTCTAAAACAAAACGCTGGTTGATCTACAGGTCTACCTCTGTGGCCGTCGTGACAGCCAATTCGAGTGCTTTTTCGAGATGCGTTCTCGACTCTACACATTCCCACCCACGCCCCATCTGTCTCTAGGCCTATGACTCAAAGCCGTCCCCCTTCAAGACTTGCGGTGGAGAAGACCGGCGGCACCCTGTGTAAAGTCAGACATGTTTCAATGTGCACGATGCAACGGTCAAACCCACCTGATGTTGAGGGAAAATGAGCGTGTCCGCAACGACAACGTTCTCTCTCCTGGTGGACGTGAAGACGACAACCTCTGCGATATCTTCGGGGGTGAGAGGCTCGCATCCGCTGTGGCATCGTTAGCATAGTGTCCATGCTTGAAGCTTCTTCAAGGCAGTGACTTACGCGTAGACGGCGTCGGCCTTGGACTTGTCACCGTAGAAGCGAACGACTGAAAATTCCTGCGCCACGTTAGATCCCGTCACCAACACTAGGCTCCCGAGAGATGATGGCTTACAGTCTCGACCTGACCGGGGTCAATGCCAATAACGCGGATGCGAGTCGCAATCAGCTCCTTTCTCAAGCTGTCGGTGAAACTGCGCACGGCGGCCTTGGTTGCGCAGTAGATTGAACCACCGGGGTACGGCTCACGGCCTATCATCACGACTATTAGTCACTGATGCTCAACGCAACACAAGGTTGATAAGCGCCAACTCACCAGCAATGGAGCCAATGTTGATGATGTCTCCTGAGCCGCCATCGGGGCGCGCCTTGAAGATGGGGAGAATGGCCTGCGTCACGTTGATGAGGCCGGTGACGTTGGTAGCAAACATGACGTTGATGTCCTCCTCGGCGATCTCGGGGGCCTTGGCAACTCCCTTGACGAGGCCGCTTTAGATGTGTAAGTGAACAGCCTACTTGAGAGTGAGGTCATGGGGTAGTGACATACGCATTGTTCACGAGGATGTGGATATCCTTAAACTCCTCGGGCAGGTTGGGCACGAGCTGGCGGACCTCTTCGGGGTTGCTGACGTCCAGCTTGACGGGGTGGACCTTGACGCCGCTGCCGACCTCCTTTTGGATCTCGGCGGCGACCTCCTTGAGCGTGTCGATGCGGCGGGCCGTGAGAACGAGCTTGAGGTTGTTGGGCGCCGTCCGGGCGTACTCGAACGCCGTGCTCTTGCCGATACCGCTCGAGGCGCCGGTGATGAGCACCGTCTTGCCTTCGAGGCGCTTCGCTGCGGCGGACATGATGGTTCTGTGATGAGTCTGGTTGAGGGCTTTACGTAGGGATGAGTGTAGCTGAGGCTGGTGGCGTTGAGATGACAAGAGCGAAGAGAAGACGGAGCGGGCTATACGGGTGTAAGGGGGCATGTGTGAAGAGAGGGAACGGGAGAGCAGAGTGCCGGTACGGTGGGATGAATTAGTTGCTTATATACCTGACTGTAAATCTGGGATTTCTGCACAAGTCAGGAGAAGGTTGCTTTGCTCGTACAGTTGCTATTAACCAATGAAAATGCGAGGATCACTAGAGGGAAGCTGTTCCGGTACAGAAAAAGAAGTCTCGACACGTTTCCGACTACAGAGGCAAATGGAGGGACGGATAAGACGAGGGGAGAGCAGAAGTGCACGGCACGGCGCACGGAATGGATGGGCCCCACCCTGCGGGGTCTCAACCGACCGATAACCGGCGGGGACAGGCGATTGCATCATTTTGCTTGAAGCTTCTTTCGCTTGACACAACTTCTTGGCCCCTCACTTATTTCAAGTATAAGTAGCAGGGCTAGAGTAAGATACGGAGGAGTCTTCAAGAGGGTCTAATGGGGTTCATTTGACAGCCATCTTTGCTGTGAGAGGCTGTTGCGCCGATGAGGTGATTGGCAACTCCGACTTTGTTTGTACTTGGCGGCCTTTTCTATCCCCGCACCATGCGGCACCAACGCCGATGAGCTCTGCCCGGCTACGAATCCGACAGGGTTACATAGGCCAAGGTTGCGGCTTACTAGGCTCTCGGTTCATACAACGGTCGCCGTGGTTTTCCGGTCGTTGGCCGCGGAGTGGTTCGAAAGGTATTTAATTGATAATAATAATTAATACTGACATGAGGTATTGCTCATAAACCCATTCCCATCATATTCATCCGTTGATGCCAGAAATATTGACAATGAGATCCCCCTAACGCCGGCCAGGTGCTATGCTTACAACAAAAATCCAACAATAAAAGTACAGCCCGCCCATGGTACACACGCTTAGTCCGTTGTCGTCGAAGAAACCAACGTAGTCGCCGCCGATGCCCTCCGCCGTCTCTCTACTTCAGCTCTGGTGTGCATTTGCCGCTGCTCCTCGATAGTGACTCGATTTCGACGATAGACACCAAGGCTCAATAGGATTGCTATGCCGGAAAGAATAGCTCCCACTTGCATATCCTTGCAGAAAGAGTCTGTGTAGACCTGACGTACGGCTGCAGCTTGCGCCTCCGTCAAGTTCGCTCCAGCTCCATGAAGCGACGCAAGCTGTCCCGGGCTTAGCACACCGGTCAACTCGTCCCGCATGAAGTTGCCCAAGATCGCCGTGGAAGCGGCGATTCCCAGACTGCCGCCGAGAATCCGCACCTGTGCAATGATTCCTTGCGCGGGGGCTTTGTGACGTTAGCTATCTGTCTATATCTAGCAGGATTGGAATGCTCACCATGGTCTGGAATCTCTGACTCAGTCGCTCCCAGAACGGTTGACGAAGTGGCCGATAGCCCAAAGCCAAAGCCGATAAAGGTAAGAAACCCGAGTGCTTTGGGTTCCAGTTCGACAGACGACGAGAGCGTCGTCATCAAGCCGCAGCCAATACACACGAAGCAGCTTGCCGCGGCCATCGTCTCGAAAAGTCGGTTCTGCTTCTTGTTGATAATCCCGCCAAGAGTGGTCCCCAGCGCAACAGAGCCTAGCATCGGCAGAAGCAGGATACCGGCAAGTAAAGAGGTCTTCCCATTGACGATCTGCAGGTGGACAGGGAAGGCGTAGATGACCAAAAGATACGGGAACCCGAGGAACATCGTGTTGAGGATGGTGGCGACGTAGACACGGTTGCGAAGAAGCCGCATCGGAATAGCCGCCATGATGCGGTTGCTCCAGTACTTGGCGACGAACGCCTCCCATCCCAGCAGCAAAACGAAGCACACGCCGCCGACTGTAACGGGGGCGATGAATACGGCCTGACGCCACTTGTTGCCATCTGCACCAACATTTTGGAAAGAGAAGACAACCAGAACGGATGCTGCAACAAGCAGAAAAGAGCCTACAACGTCCAACTCCTTCCAGCGTCTACGTTGCAGTGTCGGGAGGTGTTTGGCATCGGGCCACGTGAAGTAGAAGATGAGCATTGAAACGAAACCAACAGGCCCACTACGCTCTTGTTAGAAAATGTCTTCGGACGATGATTGCCTCCTCAGGGTCACTCACTTGATCCAGAAGATCCATCGCCAAGAGGCGTAATGGGTGAGAATACCTCCCAGGACTGGCCCAAGCACACCGGCACTAGCAATGACCATACCGACGAGGCTGGACATGTACTGAAGCAGGTGCTTGGGAGCTACCTCGGGGAATATAATCATGGTGATCGAATAAAGGCCTGAAATACTTAGCAAAGGACTTGACGGCGATGGATACGCTCGACTCACCAGACCCTCCCAAACCTTGAAGAGCACGGCATGCAACCAACTGCTCCAGGTTCTGGGCAAACCCGCAGCCCAGGGAAAAGGCAAAGAAGATGATGAAGCTTGCCAAAAAGGCATTGCGGCGGCCAACAATGTCGGATGCCCGAGCCACCAAGACGGCACAGCTCAGGTATGTGAGCGTGTATGCGAGTGCAACCCAGTTAATCAGATCGACCGAGTCAAACTCTGTGCCGATTGTGTACAGACTCGTTGCCACAATAGAAGCATCCAACATGGAAAGAAATAGTCCGAGACAGAGTCTTCCAGGCAAGTCAGCATAGAGATCTACAGCAGCCCTCGACACATCATGGGGGCAATTACCCAATGCTGAGCAGCCAAAATCTCCATGGCGGTAGAGTAGCATCTCTGTAATGATGGTTCTCTACAAGGCCCTCGGCCTTGGTAGACTCGATGTCCTCCTTAAGATTACCCATGACGATCGCCTCGTAGAATTTAACCGGTGCAGAATTATGCCAACGAGCAGCAGTCGCAATGAGATTATCGTTGGTAGGATGTTGTAGTCGTCGATGTCTCAACTCGTGGTTGTCGTTGGATCCGGGTCTTGTACACTTGGTTAAATAGTTGGTGATGGAACCGATGGTTCTGAGAGGATGTTCACTCGGCTGAATCCTGTCCGTCGGTAGGATGAAAATCTGACTCGAAGGTTGTCGGTGTCGGAGCAACGCTATGCTGACGACCACTCACGATGTACAGATACGGGGTTGAGAAGCAGAGCCGGGGCAACTCATAGTGAAGGATGTCACGAGAAGCCCGGGAAGCGCATCTGACAGGAGGATCCAAAGGCGCTTTGGGAAGAGAATGCGAGGTCCAAGTAAGAAGGACGGGGCGAAAGCCACGAAGGGAACGCGATTAAAAGAGAGACAGGCGCCATGGCCGAACATACGAGAGAGGTTGAATCGGCGTTCGGGGCGACGAATTAGGGAAAAAACGAACGTTCGGCGTTCAGCAACGCATTCGCATTCGCTAGCTCGGAAACGACCTCCTGAGCTCACGGTCCCAGTTGTTTGTGTCTTTGGCCCGCCGCTGCTGCCGGCCGTAAGCTGATCCCGTAGGCGAATGCGGCGTGGACCCGGCGCGCCACATCAAACCCCCCCCCCAGATAGTCAGACATTTCGGTAGTGAGACAGGCCAATACCAGTGAGGCGAACGAAGAAGGGAGGGCACGATAGTGCGATTGTCTAGGCCGCCGCATTTCTTTCGGTCGGAGTCCCCTTGGATTATTCTTAAGGCCCTTTCGGTGACAGCATGTCGTCCGATGAGGAATGCTGGAACCCGCCCCCGACGCACCAAGGCCGTTAAAGAATCAGCTGCAACGTGGTCTAGATCCATCATCCAGGCCCGATCTAATCGATAGCAACCCATCGGCGAAGGCTCCAATTTTCAGCTCCGTGGGTAGATAGCTTCAAGCTCTCAAGTCCGAGGATGGCCAGCATCGTAGTTTGCCTAGCAACGTTTGCCGACGCCGAAGGAAACTCGCAACAACCGATGAACAGCCAGCATAGTCTCGCTCCTCCACTGTTTCTAGTTGCCGTGTGTGCAGGCAGGCCGCAGACTCAGTAATTGCGGGAATGGAGAAGAGAGGCGAATCCGTCGTTGAGGAATGCGGGTTCAACACTGCCTATCCCCGATGCCCACTCGGGCGATCCTCTCAGGTAGGGAGACATGAGAGAAACCATAGTCAAGCACTCAAAGTCCTTGCTTCGGTGATGGAGCCATCGTCGACGCGTGCCCGATGTGAGCGACTGCGCCACGCACCGAACACAACTGGCTGTCTGCGATGTGTAAATCCGGGGCTATCTCCCACTCTCCCTAGTGCCATTTGGGAACTGTAAAGATAGCAACAATGACCCCTAGGCAAACAACAAGGTAAGGAGATTGGAAAGAGGGAGACACAAACATCATCTCGTGGAATGTTTGCTCGCAGCGTGCACACGGTAGGAACGGGTGTTTAAGCTGGGAGAATCGAGATGGCAAAGAATACCGTCTGGGTTGACCGGGATCTCCGTTGCTTCTTCCTCGGCTTGTTGGTTTTTTATGTTTGGCTTTGAGTGCGCACACAACTGACCGTTCACGGCTCTGCTGGTGTCTGGTGACTGCGAAGACGCGGAGGGCGAAGGCAGGGGATTTTATCCATACCTGAGCAGCGGAGTTCCAAGCAATTTCACAATGTCTGAGAGAAGAAGAAACCGGAATTGGAACGCAATTGTGGGGCGTTGGCCGGAAGGTAAGACTCCACGGCCGTACGGATCCCAATTCGGGCCTTTGCCGGTCCGGACGGAGACCCGCTTCTCTTAGGTAACCAGGGACACATTACATAAGGCAGCAAATGCTTACCTCATCCATGGCCTCACCCCTCACCGTGCGAAGAACTCCGGCACTATGCTTTGGTGCCACTTTCTCGCTGACAACACTCAGTCCAGGCACCTTCAAGCGGGCAAATAGGCGCTGACAACGACAGTCCCACATCCAACCCACCACAGTGCCCACGTCCTGTCACTATCGTCAGTCAAGGTCGACTTCCCATCGCATAGACTAATTGAACCCTCGTCATTTCGAAGCTTGGGTTGCCTCTGGATCTCATCCGAAAGAAGGCAAAGTGTCGTGCAGTCAATACTTCACATTCCCGTCCCGATCCTCTCCCGGCACGGCCCTCCGCGACCGCTTCTATCATGACAGACATAATAGCCGACCAGGCGCCGCCAGCCCTCGCCGTACCATCGGAAAAGGAGAAGAAATACGACCGCCAACTCAGACTTTGGGCTGCGAGCGGCCAAGCTGCTCTGGAGTCTGCCAATATCCTGCTTGTGAATTCTGGCACGGGCACTGTTGGTGTTGAGACACTGAAGAATCTCGTACTTCCAGGTATAACCCCGAGGGCTTGCATGGTGGCCCTGAATCAGCTTTGCTATCCTCATATTCATCATCAAAAAACTAACATGCTTAGGTATTGGGAACTTCACGATTGCTGATGATGCCGTCGTGAGCGAGGCCGATCTCGGTGTCAACTTCTTCCTGGACGAGTCCCATCTCGGCAAGTCGAGGGCCCAGAGCTGTACTGAGCTGCTGCTAGAGCTCAATCCTGAAGTTCGGGGTGACTGGTATCCTAAGAGCTCGGTGAGGCAGTTGAATCATGTATTCTGTGCTTTAGGACTAACGCAGTGGTAGGAAAACGCGGGCCTCCAGCAGCTTCTGAAAACCTCAGCCCCCTTCACCATCATTCTGTACACACTTCCCATGAAACCCGAAGACCTCACTACACTCGAGGCTTACAGCCGTGAAAACAAGACGCCATTAATTGCGATACACTCCGCTGGCTTCTACTCCTACTTCAGCACTCGTCTTCCAGGGATTTACCCCATCGTCGACACTCATCCGGACGTCACAGCCATCACGGACTTGCGGCTTGTCACCCCATGGGAAGAGCTAGAGGACTTTGCTAAGAGCTTGACGAAAGACATTGACAATCTCGAAAATCATGAGCACGGCCACCTGCCCTTCGTCGTCGTTCTCTTGCACTACCTGAACGTATGGAAGTCATCCCACGACTCCAAGCCCCCGAGCAACTACAAGGACAAGGTGGAATTCCGCAAAATGGTGGCCGCTGCTACGAGAACAGACAACCCGGAAGGAGGCGAGGAAAACTTTGAGGAGGCTGTGGCTGCGGTGTTGAAGACCATTTCGCCACCATCACTCCCTTCTGCCGTCAAGGAGGTCTTTGAGTACAAGCATACGGACGAGGTGAGTGCCCGCCACATTACCGAGAAAAGCCAATCCACCTGACAACTCTGCAGAAGGAAGCCACCTCTAGCTTCTGGATCATCGCAGGAGCGATCCGCGACTTTTATGAGAAGCACGGCTGTCTACCGGTACCGGGCGGCCTCCCAGACATGAAGGCCCAATCGAGCGTGTACATTGAGCTTCAAAACATCTACAAGGCCAAGGCTCGCAAAGATGCAGCCGAGGTGCTCAAATCGGTCCGTCAGAAGGCCGGTGGCGAGGGTGTCGACGCAGCCGAGGTCGACTTGTTCTGCAAGAATGCGGCCTTTATCAAGCTGGTCGTCCCTGCAAGTGGCGGGCCCGAACAACTGCGCAGCGTAGCAGGTAAGGAATAATCTCCACGAGGATTACCACAGCCAGTGCTCACACATTTCGCCTCACAGCGCAGGAGTTTGCCAACGACGAAATGGCCAAGGAGGGCGTGGTGCCACTGTCACTCCTCCCAATCTATCTCGCCCTACAGTCCACGTCACACACACCCACGGCATCTTCGGATGAGATTCTGGACAAGATCAAGACGCAGCTTCCAGACTGGAGCGACAATGAGCGGCTCGCGCAGGCGGCGCAAGAGGTAGCCAGGTCTGGCGGTGGAGAGCTGCACAACGTTTCCGCCGTGACTGGCGGCATGGTGGCTCAGGAGACGATCAAAATCATCACGAACCAATACGTACCCATCGAGAACACATGCATATTCGACGGCATTGCAAGCCGGTGCCAAATTCTTCGTCTGTAAGGGGGTTCGGAAATACTTTCCAATCCGGCCGCTCGCGGTAAACCCCCCCTGGTCCTTCTTCAGAATGGCCGTCGATGGACCATGGGACCCCACTAGAGCAAGGCGTGCGGGGAAGCTGACGATGTTCTGTTCAGCCAGCGTGGTTGGTGTAAAGTTGGGAGTGAACTCATCCTGGGCGGAGAGGTGAGGGGAAGACGATGGCACGCACCGTGACCCTGGGAGAACCCCAAGGGGAACCGTCCGGCACTGAGGTTGCAGATCCCGGAAGAATAGATTATTTTCCAATCTTGGAGAAAAGGTCCAACGGGGTAGCGGTGGCCACTGGCAGGTAGTGGTTCCCAGAGCTGGGAGGCATGGAGATGGTTTCCGGGATGGCAATTTGTTTGGGGGAGGGGTGTGTGCGTGTGGTTGCAACTCTAGCGCCGCAGCAAACTGATTTGCAGTGCCGGGGGGGTAGGACAGGACACCACTTTAACCCTCACTGGACCCTGTCGGACGGGTGTGTGGTTGTCTGGGCGGAGATCACGTCGGACCGCAGTCCCTTACAGCTAGCTACCTTAGCTAGGATGTGGATGAATAGCAATGCAGCCAGGGGTTATGCGGAACCGCTTGGGACCTTTGGAGCAAGTGAAACATGACGGAGGTTGACGATGGCAAGCTTCGGGAGTCCACCTCCTATGCCTCATGATATGATTCCCGTCGGCTTCACGATCTTCAGGGACCGTATTCACCGCCAACTGTGAAGTCGTGACAGTACATATGCAAATGAAGAGTGATGTGTCAGTCTTGCCGTGATATCAGGTCCCAAGAATGAAACTGCCGGGTTGTGGGACAAAATGTCCCGCGGTGAGAGAGGCATCGTCTGATCTTTACAGACACAGTACAATCTCGCAACATAGAAAA